CTGGCAAGACTCCTCCAGACATCTTCATAGGATGGTTTGTCTCGAGAATGCTTTTTGGTCACCAATTAGAAAACGTTTCTCTGCCCTTCTTCAACTGTAGCACTCCTCCGACTTCTGGATTATGTTCTCGTAATGTTTGGAGCTGACCGAATTACTTGAATACCACAGCGATACCCCTGGGCATTTGGAGATCCTCTGTCACGCAGTGAGCTAGTGCCTATTCAACTGGAACCTTGAAAATGTCTCGTGGCTCTTCTTGAGTTACCCCTTGTATGACCTACTATCCGTTCGAGTATAAAGACATGAACTTTTGGAACGTCATTTCATCCTCTGGTGGTCTGAGGGTGCGAACTTGGTCGTGATTTCCAGCATAAGGAGCAAATCTATTGAAATGGACGACCCTAAGCTTTCCTCGAGGTGGCTTATGGATTCGGTAGACGAGGTCATTAATATTTTTCATGATTTTGTACGGACCTTTCCACGAGTTCTGCAACTTCGTTGATAAACCACGCTTAGGGTTGTACAGCCAAACTAGGTCACCGGTTTCGAATTCTCCAGCATTCCCCTTGATGTCATAGGCCTTCTTCATCCTATCGCTGGCACTCCGGATCTTCAGACGGACTCGTTCATGGATGTCGTCCATTCTCTGCCGAAGCTTGCTGACATAGTCTTCCCCCGCAATGTCTTGTTCTGGCGGCGTCCCAAATTTTAGATCGCAAGGAAGCCGCAGCTCTAGGCCCATTATAATACTGGCAGGGGTTTGGCCGGTTGACTCGTGCACTGCCGAACGATAGGCCAACAAGAACAGGTGGAGGTGCGAGTCCCAGTCTCGTTGATGGTCAGAGACTACCTTGGACAAGTGGCGGTTTATGGTCTTATTCATCCGTTTCACCATTCCATCGGACTGTGGATGTAAGGCTGCGGTTCTGGTCTTTCGAATGTCCAACCGTTTACATATTTCTTGGAACAGGTTGGACTCGAAATTTCGGGCCTGGTCCGAATGCAGCTCCAATGGGACACCGAATAGACATATCCATTCCTTCACCAGGACGTCAGTGACGGTAAAGGCTTCCTGGTTGGGCAGGGCATAGGCTTCTGCCCACTTACTGAAGTAGCCCATGGCTACCAGGATGTATTTGTTCCCATGGTCGGACTCTGGGAATGGGCCGGCGATATCGATGGCGATTCTCTCTAAGGGACTACCCACGTTATACTGGCGCATTGGAGCTTTCGGTCGTATCCGAGTTCCGTTACTGGCCGCACATATATCACATTTTCTGCACCAGTCCTTGACGTCGGCTTGACAATTAACCCAATAAAACCATTGTCTTACTTTCTGGAAGGTCTTCGTTACTCCCAGATGTCCTCCAGTGACTCCATCATGGATTTCTTTGAGCATCTCCCGTCGTCTGTTCCTGGGTACCAATGTCTGTCGCCTGTCTTCTCCACCGTCTTCAGACTCCAACACCCGCTTCAGAACCCCGTTTTCCAAGTTAAGGGAGTGCCCAGAAGGACTTAACCGCTGGCGAATAACCTGCTACCTCCTGCCACGATAGTCTTCGATCACTCTTCTTCCATCGGATGACTAAACCAAGATCTGGGTATTTCTCTTGGTCTTCCTTGATCTCATTATCCTCCCGGTTGTCGTCTACAGTTGTAGTTCTACAAATAGATGCGCCCTTCTCTTCTGCTCGTCGGCAATGTGATCAGTCATCGGGGCATCGTTACAATATATAAACGGTGATAAAAGTCCCATTCCTATTCACACTAATATGTAATTACAGGTGAAAAAAGGTAAAGAATAATCAGTCAGGTAGTAAATAACAATAGTGTAGAAATAAAAAAATTCTTGCAATACTGTGAAAGCATTAACTGTAAAGCTGATGATGCTAACTTGGTGAGCAAAATACATGTCACGAGACAGCATTTCCGCGAGGAAAATGTGTTTTCAAAATATTTGGAGAACAGGAAAACGCTTTGTTGTTCCAAGTCTGTGATTTTATGTAAAAATTCAAAAGATGACACTCGTAGGTAACAAAAAAATTAGAAAAAACAGGCAAATGAACTTGACCGTCTCGTACTTAAAGTCTTGTCCGTATGCGGTAAAGGTATGGTTACAACTCAATAAATAGGATTTAATTATGCGGCATGCGAGACACGAACGGGCGTATATCCGTAACACGATACTAATGACTGCTGCAGCCGAAACTATCCGTAACCTCGGGTTCGTGATTAAGCAGACGACGGGATTTAGTTTCGGGACGATTATTTCGGCATAAAAGCGTCGTCACGCTCGGGCTGATATCTCGAGAACTTCTGACGACCCGTGACGGAGTTAGCGACAAAAAAAGAAATAGACGAGGAATTATGTTACTGTTATTAGATGTTTCTTAGGGGGGGATTGCAGATACGTTTTTGTTGTTGGTTGTTCAAACTGTCGCATAATAAAAAGTTTTCATTTGCATTCACTTATTGAAAAAATTGTTGGGAATCTTCCCTTGAATTATTTTGTCATTTCTGGCAGTAGGGGTTGTTGAAAAATGAATGCTGAACTGAAATATCTGTTGTAGAGTGAGGATTTTTGAATTTCGTCTAAGTCTCCAGAAAACCTTGTGGTCTTAAGGGTTCTTTGCTTTTTTCTTTTCTTATTTTTTAGCACTCGTTCAAACCATCTGGTTTCAATTATTCAAAGATATTACCTGAGCTTTTCAAAAGTTATTAGATTCCTCTTTCAGTTGATTCCCTTAGCATTTTGTTGTAATAATCAGCATCTGCTGCTCACCTTATTATTATATATGACCTTCCAACAGGGACTTCTGAATTTTGACAATTGATAACGGCCATCTTGTCAATTTAGTTGTCATTTATTCAGTCTGTTTTGCCAAATCACCAAGGACGGATATAGCATTCAGCAACACGTGCAAATAATGAAATTGTTTTATCGAGATGGGTGTTCTATTCGGGCAACGTACCGCGCGCTTCGTCCATTTCACGGTCGCCATAATCGTCCTACCGGCTACTCGCAATGCTGTAGATGAATTTGAGTCCACTGGTTCGGTAAACGATTGACCAACACCCGTACGTTGAGGAAACACAAGATCTGTCGAAAACATCACCACTGTCTATGAGAGTGTGCACCGAGGACGTCGATTTCGCTTCGCTCACAAGAACTCGACCTTTTGCAGACCATAACTTGTCGAATTTTGCGTCGTGACTTGGCCCTGCAACCGTACAAGACTGACCCAGGAACTCAAGGTGAATGACTTTATACAACGACGTGTGTTCGCTGAATGGGCTCTGGAGCATTTGGCAACTGACCCTAATTTTCATCGAAAAATTATCTTCAACGGTGAGGCCCATTTCTGAACTAATGTTAGACTTTTCTTGTGGGGTTTTCTTGAGTTGCAGGTGTATGCGAATAAGCCACAAACCACAGCGGTCCTCAAAGCCAACATAAACCATGCCATCGGTCAAATTCAGTCTGATTTATGCGCCACAGTAATGGAAAATTGGACGGTTTGGACGCGCTCTTCACAGTGCAGCCATGATGGACATTTGAACGATGTTATATTGCACACATAATGGCATCAATAGGTCTTTCAAACGATTTAAAAATTCCTATGATACCTCACACATACTTTATTTTATTTGAATTCAAAGATAGGAAGCGCCCAATGAAAGACCCTATATTTGTCGTGGACTGAGATAACTGAATTGGCTGCATAGTCCAGTCCCTATATCTGGTATAGCCCAGAAACCACCACAGTCACCAAATGTAGATACTCAACGTAGATGACACAATTCAGATTCTTTGTGACAGATAACTCAAATTCTATCTTACACTGATTTCTGATTTTTTGTTAACAGTAAATTAACAATAACTCATAGATAACAAATGCAAAAGACTGCATCTCCTAATACGCATACTATCGTAAATTAATCTAAATAAATGAACTTTAAACGTTCAAGCCAGTCTCGAATATACCTACACAGTAGGTTAAATGGACTGATGGCGTTGGATTATATCCGACAGGCGTCAGTGCGGGAATCTCCACAGAAAATTTCCTGCATATGCACTTGGCAATACAACTGAAAGAGTCGACCTTCAATTTTGGAACACTTGCAGACCGGTTTCGGGCTTATTAGGCACTCATCAGTGCAAGATAGTGGCCATCATCGACCCGAAGTCAATGATATTCCATTATTGAAAATAGGAATTCTTTCAGAGTATTTCATTCCTCTTCCTAAGTTGGAGCGAACAACAAAATGCCACTCCATCTAGAGGACGAAGTACTAACCAACTGCATATCCGTAATTTGCCCGATTCCTCTGAATAAGGAGGAAAAACTTTCTTATTAGTCAGTGGGCTATGCTTGAAGATTAGCAGTAAACAAATCTAAAGAAATGAACTTTAAACGTTCAAGCCAGTCTCGAATATCACTACAAAGTAGGTTGAATGGACTGACACCTGTCGGATATGATCCAACGCCATCCGTGGTATTAGCCAGGGGAGTAGTTGTTTTCTGATAAGCTTTCAACCTACAGTGTAGGTATATTCAAGACTGTCTTGAACGTTTAAAGTTCATATCTTTAGATTTGTTTACTGCCAGTCTTCAAGCATAGCCCACTGACTAATAAGAAAACTATCGTAAATTGTTCAACTCTACCCTTATCGCGTATTTGTACAATCCTTTCCATCATATGCAATGTGTGGGGACACTTCCCACACGCTGCTGAAGTGAAGGCGTGCATGACTGCAAAATCGTCTTTAAAGCTCTACAGATTCATATGGTTCCTAATGCTTACATTTTTCAGTGCCAAATTCATATAAAACCAACATACACTGATGGTACCAATAACTGATGAAGCTACCATATAGCAAAACGCGTTTTAAATGAAATTCATTGTGATATGCTGCCTATAAAACCAATAATTTCTTTCAAAGTTATTATTATTTGAAAAATTATATCTTGATCGATCGTGTCTACATTATGAGATAGTTTCCTTTGCAGTCGGACGCCAGGCAGCCGTCAACCCTCCCCCGCCGAGGAGGAGCTCAACAAGAACGGCGGTATAACCTTGGACCAAGCCACCGCGCTCGCCGTCCTCAAACAGCACCAACAGCAGCAGCAACCGCAAGAGCAGCAGCTACAACCGCACCACCTGCACCATCTTCCCGGCCATCACTTGGCCCCGCATCTAGGCGTCACGCTGGCCGAATCGGTGAACCAGCAATTCGAACACTTCGCCGCCGAGCAACAGCAGCAGCAACAGCAGCAACAACAACAGCAGGCGGGCAACAATCCTTACGAGCAGCAGCACCAGTACGCGCAGCCTCCTCCACAGCCGCACCAGGTGGACAGCGCAGTTTTGCAGCAGCAGCAGCACAACTTCGATGTACAGGTGAGTCAGAGTTTGATCAAATTTTGGTGTCAAGTAATTTTCTCCATCCGTAAAAATAATAGTTCCATCGTTATGATGTAAATGAACGACTATAAAGTATACACTAATCAAGGGTAATGAAAAAGCATAAAGTAAAATGGGAAAGATCCCCAACTGTGCTTCAAGTAAGAGTTAAGTATCACTTGTAAAAGTCGACAACAGATCAGCTAAGCATGTGGCTCACCATGCTCGACAACCTTTTTTAGTCGCTGTCAAGTCATATAGATTTTTGAGACACATCATATCTCACGCCCAACCATTAAATTACGTAATGAAATTCACTCTTAGTGGGTGTCTCATCTGTAAAACGATTAATACACCAGAATGGATGTCTAAATGATTCACTAAATAAAAATATCCATGTTGAGTGAGGTTGTTTTTATACCGAATGTATGGTGAAAATGAACAGACTATTATGAGACAAATTGGCGCAGTGGGTATATCTGCACGATAGGCAGTTTAATCTCTGAAGCTTATTGACATTGGTACAGTGAATTGAACAGTAAAAATTGAGTAAATATTAACCTTGTTTAACCTAACAATGTTCCACTTCTTTGGGGTGCTAAGAATTTTAAATATGCATGCATTCTTCTAATCACCACTTTCTGTAATACAAACAATTTTGAGTTATATTTCAAGAATGAGTTACGTCTTTGTTACAATGTACACATGAAAAAGTTGAATGGGTGAGGGATCAGTATACTCGACGAAAAACTATTATTTTTCCGTTTACGTTTCGGATAGGATTTACAAGGCAATTTTATATCTATTATTAATGAATTGTTTTCTTCTAAAGGAAAGCAAAACTCAGCACAAGTTAGTTTTTTCATTTACTTTGAAATATTTATATGATAACGAACATCCACACCTACAACGATTCGTCCAACAAAAAACATGACTAACAAATCATTCGCATGAACATGATTTAGAAAAACTTACCTTTGGGTCCCTACTTTTCCAATAAATCATAGAAAACGAAAAACTCTTGAATGCAAATTTTGGATACAAACTGAAGAAATCGAGAATAAACGTGCTAGGAATCCCACGATTGGAGGTAAGACCTCGTTAATCCACATGTTTCGACTCCTGATAGTTGTAGTTTGTAAGGCAGCGGCGACAGCTAGTTAACAGTAAAACAGATTTCAACCATATGTGTTTCCGTCACCCCATTGCACGTGTTATCCAATGTTGCGAGAGATTCACTAATTTTTTTAGATTGGACTTTCGACAGCTCAACTACTAAATTGGAAATCGATTTGATTGATGCGAATTCTTCGAGGGTTGGGTTGCTTGATTGTTTGACAGGGTTGTTGTTCAATCTTGTGTGAGTTATTAAATCTGGGTGAGGCTTTTTTGGTTCAGCTTTTTTTTCAATTTATCGGATTAGGACCCTCCTACGAAACAGGTTATTTTAAGAATGTTGCTGAGAAATATTTGTTAAACGTTCCATATTGATATTTGTTGAGTCTAGAAACAAAATTATATCATAATGACAGATGTGAATTGATTCAAAGCTCATTTTGTGAGTACTTGAGAGTGTCTCATTCGGTTTATTGGACTTTGTATCTTTTCAATATTTCAATATTTTTAAGTTTATTTTTTTCAAATTTGCAGTTTTCTAGCATATCTCCATAATTCCCCAAATATGGCCAACTAAAGAAAATCAGTATTTTCCTTTCATCATAATAATTCTGACGTATTTTTAAGGTTTTTGTACCGTGTACCCGAAATTTTTTCTTGGCTTTTGGCAGCTTTTCATTCATATAAAAAAGCTTGCACATCAATAAGTTGTGGTGTCCACCTTTCTAGATATCCCACAAAAAATATAACAATAAATACGTTCAATGATGAATGTTCAATGATGAATGCATAGAAAAATCTTTTGAAACACTGTTAACCAGTTGTCGTCTCCCTACGAACGACAATCCTAAGAAGTCGAAACTTGTGTGAGCTAAGGATTAATGACGCCTTGTCTTTTAACGTGCGATACCCACACTATATGCAATGATTGCCCAGGTCTCCCGACTTTCATCTCAATGCTGACCATGCTGAGAAGGTTTCGAGAAGTTCAACAGACAATGGCGTGTATTGAAGGAGTAACTTTTTTGAGCGCTTACTGAAAGAAATTAAATACCTTTTTTGATTATTGATATGAATAACAAAAGTGAAATTCAATTTCCATTAACTACTAATAACTACTAATTTTTTTCACATTTCAACATCTTACGACATCTGCATGTCGATTCGCGGATTCAATAAATATTTTTGATGTTTTTATTCCAATAAATGGCGAAGGAAGTTTGGTTGATCCGTTTTGGCGAATTCGCCAGTTCATCGTGGCGAAATAATTTCTTCTCTTGTATCATTGAAATTATAACGTATCAAATGAGAATTTAGATACTAGAAAAAGTAGTACACTGAATCAAATTGTTTTTTGTACAAACTGATAAATATGTAATTTGATCTTGACTAATTCGAATAAAATTCTAAGATGAAAAATATTTTTTATAAAATACGTAAATCTTGCGATTAGCTTTTATATCACATAAAGTTTGTGATGTATTAATGAATTTAATTCAATTTTTTTTTCAGGCGTGGTAAATGAAAACTCAATGTATGGGTGACGTTAAATTCACAAAAGAAAATACTTCGCTACGTGCTTTTTGAAATCTAACCTAATAACGAGACTTTTGTGTCCTGAACGACATACTTTGAACCTAATTCTAGTCTAGTTTTAACAGAGTTAGTTCTTCATGCGACTCAAGGCCATATGTCGAAAGGTCAGAGTTTCGCATATAAATAGATTTTTGTCCAAAAAGGTTAGCTAGTAACGGGAGATGTCATTTCTACTTGGGGTTCATAATTCAGTTATAAAATTTGAAAATTCGAGATTCTCTTACTTGAACGAGTCATGTAATTTTTGTACAGGGTAGATTTTATTCGATTCCAAACTAAATGTTGAACCTGAACACCCATAAACTAATCACTATTCAATGACTGATGAAAATGACAGAAATAGGAACATTCTTTGTTCAAATAGGCAAAATGCCCAGTTTAAACTTCGAGTTATCATTTCGTTTATTATCATTTATTTTATAATAGATGGTTTACATACTTCAATATCAGATTGAAATAGTGGGTTTGTACAACGAACATAAAAAATCTGCAAGAACCACGGTTCCTAGATAATAACTTTGCTGGTAGGAGAGCTTCTACAGAATGGCCATCGAAATCCCCCGATTTGACTCCAGTGGTTGAAATCAAAAGTTTACGAGACACAGCCAACTAGATAGATTTTCTCTTCAGTTTTACTTTGTAATTCTTGATTGAATGCAATTCATCGTTGTAATGTCAAAAAGTTACAAGATTGGATACAGGATTGAAAGAGCTCTTGCCTCTTGCCTCTCGACTATTATATTCATTTTTTTTGATATGTGGGATGTCATGGTGAGGCTTTGGTTACGAAGAGGTTGATCTTTGTATAGAAATGTGTTCTCCTGAAAAGTTAAATTCAAATGTCTCTTGATTTTTTTTATAGTATGTAGCATTATCATCAAATGACTTATTCAGGGTGGCGCGTTCCAACTATCTAGCAAATATGAAAAAAATCGATTTGAAGACATTTCGGAATTGTTGGCTCATCGAAATCTTTAAGTTCACTTTCAAATAAAAACATTTCGGTTGTATTTTTTTCCGCAAATGTTAAAATCGATCTTATCAACATTTCCATGCCGTGAATATTTGCCGATGAGCTTCATCAACTGGAGAAAACTAAAACCCGTCCACCTCCCTTTCGTTTCATTATTCATGGCCTTGATAGGGTTTCATTATTTAAAAGTTCATCGTCGATTGAAGCGGTTGTGTCGGGAACGCATTTGCCGTTCGCGTGGACGTGGCAATTTAATTAATAGGTAAATTAATTATTCGGTTATCACTCTTGGGGCGTGTATGTGTTGGGGACCAAACCAAATATTTTGTGACTTTTGTTCAGATACGAGGCCGAATAGTATGCTTTGACACGATATTGTACTTGTTTGTTTCAGTTTATCGCATTGAACAGCCGAAAAATGTTTTTTTTGTGTTGAAAACACCCCTGTTAATTTTTCCTAATATCATTATTACTATTTTGAAATCAGTTTGGTTGGAAATTAACTAAAAGTTATTCTATAATATATAAAAAAATGTCCGTTTTCTGTTGAAAATATTATTTTCGAAGATATCTAGCCTGATTGGGGTTATTAAAAAAGACTTCAAATTGACGTCAGTTTTCATCACACTTGTCGGAGTGAAAGATATTTGAAATGTATTTCCTGTTAACGCCGAAATTATAATTGTTTCGTACATTTTTTGTATAACAAATAATTAGGAATCCAGAACTCATTAAAAACTCTTTATTGATAATTTCTCTTATCCATTGTTCAATATGGTATTTAGACCTCATCTGCTTAACGAAGGCTGTACAATTTTTAACTTTTCAAGTTTTCGTCACCAATGTGTTCTGACACTCTCGTTTCCATTTGACCAACCTAATAACAATTTTTAGATATTTTCGTTGAAGTATATTCATTCCAGAAAACAACTAATTCATTTGTATGCAAATATTAGATACCAAACGATATATAAATGTAGGGCTAGGATATTTTATTGAAAAATATTTAACAATTTTAATGTATGTGCATTACATCAATTGATGTTTTTTTGTAGGGACTTTCACTGACCTGATAACTTATTCAATAGTTTGCTACCCAATGAGAGTTGCATAATGCTACGGCAAAAATAATAATTTATGAATTTGTAGTACCATGATCAGATAAATTCTTCTTATAATGAGAAAGTTACACAATAATGGTATGAAGCACTAATCATTATTAGGTAAACATACACACTTCAGACTTGGATGTCTGTAATTTTCGATATTTATTTCGTTTTCAGAACAAAACACAATCTTGAATGATTCATAA